GGAAGCTGCTCCTGAGGGCACCCCAGGGACTAGGCCGTGTGGGATTCAACCCAGTGGGCGTGCGGGGCAGGGAGGAAGAGAAGGTGCCCCCCCCCCTCAGTGCACACACGTGCACACGCGTGTGCTCACATGCACACAGAGCTTCCCCCGGGGCACTAGCAAGGTGGGGGCTTGCCCATGATTTGCTTTGTTCTTTGTACTGGCTGGGGGAGGGGACGGGGATTTCGTGGGGGGTGGGACAGAGGCAGGACTCCTGGGTTCTGTGCCTAGCTCTGGGAGGAGAGGAGGATCTAGGGGTCAGAGTGGACCACAAGCTAAATAGGAGCCCCGCCCCTTCTGCTCAATGCTCCGCCCCTTCTTCACACTATCCCGCCCCTTCCTGTGTAGCCCGGGGTCACTTCAAAACTTTTCGAAGTAGTCCCCGGCAAAAAATTATTGCCCACCCCTGATCTAGACAGGATTGGGCCCTGCCTAGAGGGCGGGGGACTGGACCCGATGGCCCTTCGGGGGCCCTTCCTGTTCCAGTGTTTTGGGATTCACCGGTGCGGCCGGCGATGGAGAGACACAGAGTCCCCTGCATGGTTTGTGCATCCCACGGAGGGGAGGGAGGAAGGGCTGTGGAGCAGCTGGTGAAGGTGGAAGGATCCCCCCGCCTCCCGGTGCTCAGCCTGTCTGGCTCACACCTCACGCCCAGTCGACCTGCCCCGGCCCGACTCACCGGTGACCTCCAGGGGCAGCAGGTCCTGCTCGTCGTCAATGCCGGCCACCACCTCGCAGCGGTACAGCCCGGCGTCGCTGGCCCGGGCCGCGCCGATCGCCAGGGTGGCATTGTAGCGGTTGCTGGCGTAGCCGGGCAGGGACACCCTCCCCTCGTAGCCCTTCCCCACCTTCACCACGTTCTCCTGGGCCACCAGGACCGGCACGTCCTGCTTCTGGCCGGACGCCGACTGCACCTTGCTCCATTTGATGCGAGGCGGGACCGCCGGGTGGTTGGGCCCCAGGGCGGCCGAGGGGTGGAGCAGGAAAAGGCAGGGCAGGGCCACGGGCTCAGCCAGCCCCACCCGCTGCGGCTGGTGCTGGACTTTGTTGATGTGGATGATCTTCCCGTTGTCCTGGGAGCCTGCGGGAGACAGGCAGAGAGGAGAGGGGCTCAGCAGGAGGGGAAAGCCTGGGGGGCATGATACCACGGTGATGGGCACAACGGAGAGAAGGCAACTGGCACACATGGTCTGGGAAAGCCACATTCAGAACCAACGGCAAACTCAACTCGGAATCAACGGCAGGGGGCGGAAACGCCTCCCCCCCCACACTTTCATTCTCACTTTGCCCGGCTGGGGTCCGGCAGTGCCGGGAAGCTACGCCGGCCCCGTTCCCATCCCCCCTAAGGCGGAGCAGCCGCCCGGGTCTCCTAGAGGGCGGCCGAACCCCCGCGACCCGTTCCCGCTGGGTGACACTCTGCGTGTCTGTTTCCGGGGAGCCTCGCACGGCGAGGACGGGGTGACACCAAGCGGCCCTGTCGCACCTTCGCTGCCGCCCACCGACTTCCCCGCAGCCTGGGGGCGGTTTGTGCCAACGTCGGCCGCTGCCCCCGTCCACCCTGTTCCCTGGGCAGACCCAGGATCGCGCCCCCAGCGGGTTTGGCTGGCACCACAGACCCCGGCGGCTTTCTGCATAAACCGAGCGAGCTGCAGCGGGGCCCTGCCAATGCAGGGGGATGGAGCTCAGCTCTGGTTTCTCGCTTTCACACACACCCTCCGTTGGCCCTGGGACTGCGCCCCTGGGCTGCCGTGGGCGAGCAGCGAATTGGACACTGCTGAGCCAGGATGCCGCAGTCGTTGCTCATGAGAAGCACCCTGTGAAAGTCCCCAGAGGATACCAGCCACTGCGGGGCAGGTGAGAGCAGGATCAGAGGCAACGTGCCCTCTCATGTGTTCCCTCAGGGTGCGGAATAAATTTTGTTCTGTGCACTGAGGCATGTGGGAATGTGCACCACCCTAAAACACACAGGCTGCCGGTGGTGGGTGCTTTGCTCATCAGCTGGGCAGCATTTGACTCTCTCCTGGTGGCTGCCCAAGCGCCCAGCGTACAAGGAATGTGCTCAGTGACCTGGTCGGTATCTACTGGAAAGCAGGTGTGTGTTTTACTCCAGTTCCTGTAGCACTGTGGAGCGATCAGCTCCCTCTGCTGCAGCTGGCTTAGAACCTGGCAGGTAACAGGCTTCTGGGCAAGGCTGGCCAGCCCCGGCCGCAGCGTGGAGACACTGGCACAGTGAACACCCGGGCTGTCTGGGCAGGAAAGGGTGTTGCGCAACCTGGTCCCAGCAGGCAGCTAAGCTAATTGGTCTAAGCTGCTCTTAATTGCATGAGTGCTGAAGCCTGCAGTAGGGAGCCAGGTATAAAAGCAGCCCTGGAAAAGCTGGGATGCAGGTGCATTGAGGGGTGGGAGGGAAATCGAGGCAGGGCTCTTTACAGAGAGGAAGCTAAAGTAGCTAAATATCAGCTTGGCTCAGGAGGCCTTTGTAAGCAGCAATTAACAATTCTGCTTCTTAATTGCATGTTTGCAGCCCTCTCTTCTCCTCCGAAGCACACGCTGGAAACCCTAGGGCTCTGCTTTGCCATGGGTGGGAATAAAAGCGTCTCCTGTAAGAGAGCAGAGCAGGTGTCTTCTCCGGCGTGGGCTGTCTGCACGCAGAACGGCAGAGGCCTCTGACCCAGGGCTCCGGGGGTCTGAGATGAGGTATAGGCAACTGTAGGGGCTGATGTGCTCCAGGCAGCGCTAAGGGCTGGGGGTCAGAGCAGCATGCTCCAGGCAGTGCCAGGGGCTGGTGTGTGCCAGGCAGTGCTAAGAGCTGAGGGCCAGTGCAGCATGCTCCAGGCATCGTTTTCAGATCCCTCTGTTCCCCCGGCCAAGTTGAAAGCTGTGTTCTCCTCCTCTGCAGAATCCCCTTGTCCTACACATCTGACCCTCTTTCTGTGCATGGCTCTGCTGGGAAATATTCAGTGCCCCACCCTCCCTCCCGGTGCCCCTGCATCACAGCACCAGATGCTCCTGGGAGCTCACAGGCAGGGCTGGTGCGGGCACGGGGAAAGGCTGAGCAGAGTCATTAGAGCACAGGTCTGGGGGCCAGGAGCGCTTGCATTCTAATCCCACTACTGACACCAGCTTCACCTGGGGGCCAGGCAGGCAGGACTCTGGAAGCTGGGGAGGAGTTCATTCATTTCTGTCCTGTGCTCTAGGGCACATGGACTAACAGTCAGCCCCCCAAAGCCACCAGGCTCCCTCTGCGCACCCTCCATGCTCCCCTCCGAGTTGTCCTGTGCTCTGGCCTCTCTTTCTGCTGCCGTCCATCTAGGAAGGGATCCCGGTGAGGAGCAACCGGAGTGCTATGCTGGTAGAGGAGGGGCTTGGACTGGCTGCATAAATTGCTTTCAAAGAGACGGGAGAAGAGGGAAGCAAGATAGGCTGCGCTCCCTCCAGGGATAAAACCCGGCATCGATACATCTAATTATGTAAAGCCATAAACTGCTTTTATCCCCTCCATAAATGACCAGGTAGTGAATTGAATCACTTGTTGTGGGCATTTGTTGAAGCAGTTTATCCCTTTGGAGAGGGGCTGATTTATAGACTGAACGAGAGGACGAAAGGCATTGTGAGAAGCGTGGGCAACGCAGACACTCCCAGGCAACTGTCGTTATTAAAATGTTATTTACGTTTTATTTCTAGTGCGGTAGCACCAGGGAGCCTCAGTCCTGCACCAGGAGCCTGCTGCGCTAGGCACTGTACGTTATGATTATGCTTTTATTGAGGGAACCGGCAGGCAGACAGCAGCCGGGTTCAGCCTGGGAATTGGTGACGTCCACATGATTCCAGTGCGGCCTCGTCTATTCAAGGCCCTATCCTGGGGATGCGATGTCCGCTCCTGCCTGTCGAAAGAGCCGGTTCCGGACATCAACTTCACGGAGCCTGATGCTCCTGGGAGCTCACACACTGGGGAGTGCATAGGAAAAGGGTGAGCCGAGTCATCGGCGCACAGGCCTGGGAGCCAGGAATGCTGGCGTCCTAATCCCACTACTGACACCAGCAGTGTGATTCTGTAAACTGGGGGTGAGAGCATTCCTTTCTGTGCTGTACTCTATGGCACACAGAATACCAGCCAGCCCCGCAGAGTTACCGTGCCACCGCGTGAGGAGGTGCCCAATTCCAGCCAGCATAAGCAGCCACCATGACACCGTCTGGGCTAAAATTGTTCCCCCTCCCCACACCCTTACCGACCTCTGCTAGCCAGAAGCCAGCTAATACACCACCAAGCAGCAGGAGCAGGGGTGTCTAGGGCTGTAAATCTCCTCTAATTCTCCTTGTTAAAGAGCACTCAATCCCACAGGTGGGATGCTCTCATAACGATGCCGACATGGGAGACTTAGGGCAATAAGTGATCCCCCCCCATTTCATCTGCTCTCTACGTCGCCTAATACCCAGCGAACCCCACTTTGCAACCCTATTAACACTCTGCGCTCCTCGTTGCTCACTGCAGCAGGCAGCGGGCAGCTGGGTTTTTACAGAGCAGGTCATGCGGGAGGTGGGATGTTTTATTCATCTCTCGTTTCCGTTTCTTCCTACTCTCCTGTTCTGACACCTGAGAGATCCCTGGGAGCCTGGGCGGGTGGAACATGGAGTCTCTCACCTTGGGGTCACTGGTTTGAAGCCAGCACCAGATCGGTTGTGACGTGCTCTGGTGGAAGGTGTTTGGCAGATCTCAGCCTGTATTCCTTGGGCAGCCACTCAGAAGAGAGTCTAATGCTGCCCAGCTGATTAGCAGAGAGCCCACAGTTAGGTTTGTGATTTTCCTCGTGGTGTACATTCACACACACCATGGTGCACAGAACAAAATTTATTCCACACATGGATGGAAAAGAGAGCGGGAACATTGTCAGCCCCATGATCCCCAGCAACCCTATGAGAACAAAGCAGGCGGAAGAGCCAGAGGACCGGGTATCGGTGGCAGGGGGTTGGGAAGACACCCCCAGGCGACAAGGTTAAAGCTCCTCAAGCGTAGGGTGTCGGTGAATGCACAGCTGGCCTCACATCAAGGATTTGCAGGATGGCCCCCAAACCAGGGCCTTAGTGCAGAGCCCCATAGCAAGGAACGTGCCTTGGGCTCCACCCCACAGTCCCCACATCTAGGCCGTCTGTCCCCCACCTCACCGCTGCTTCCTCTAGATTGTTCCAAAGCTCGGATTTTATCTCTTTGGCTCTCCATGATTCGAACTCTCCACAGGCCCCTCACCATCTCCTCAGGCCTTGGTCACTGCCCCTTCCGCACTGGCCCCTCCAATCCCGGCGCCACCTTCCCCCTCCAGTGGGGCTCCCACTCCTGCCTGCTGCAGCCAACTCCGGCACCTCGCCCTCGCCTTGATGGCCCTACTCTGCCGACCCACCTCCGGGTCTCAACCAGCTTCCTCCACAGCCAGCTCCATGTCCACACCTCCTTTGTGGCTCCCCACAGGGACCCAGCCACGGGCTGCAGGTGGGCAGAGGGGCGGGGAGAGCTGTGCCGGCGGCTCCTGCCCTGGGCTGAAGCAGTCGTGGGCTGAGGCATCGAGCTGTGCAAGGCAGGGGCCGTGTCCCCCCTGTGCTGTTTGTGCCACGGGTGCCCTGGCACGTCCCGTGGACTCCGAGTCACTTCCCCAGAGCTGAGTCCTGCCTGCAGCCTGGCCCCGGGTGTTCAGGTGACTGGGGGAGGGGGGTCTTTAAGCCTGCATGGCTCCAGAGTGGGGCCCCTCTGGAAGATTTCACTCCCCCCCCAGGTCCGGCCCTAGGCCAGCCACCCCCGGAAAGCGGAGTGGGCGCTGCCTTCACTTAGCAGCTCCCTGCATGTTCTTGGCCTCTCGGTAAGTGCAGATTCAGCAGCCGCAGCAGAGCCACAAATAACTGGAGGACACGTGCCTGGCGGGGCGAGGGGGCTGTGGCGGTGCGGGGCCTTCACCCCCCAGATCCTGGCCGCCAAGCTCGGAGAAAGGCAGGGAGCAGGAAAGAGGGGCCCAGGTGCCCCCAGGGAAAAGGCGAACGGTGGGCGGGGGACGGGGGCGTTTCTTTTGCTGATCTGCCCCTTGTCTCAGGGCT